CTAACCATTAGTGCAATGAAAAATTAGTTTTATTGGTCTTGATGGAACACTTTTGTTATATAGCAGTACTAAATACTATTTAAATAATTATTAGTGGCTAACTGCTTGCTAATTAATATGTCGTTGAAGCTTTTTTGAATAATTTGTTTGGGCTCTCTTGTACTAGAACAAAAGAGGACAAGAGCTAGATGGGGTCTGTCCAGCAGAAAAATGTATACCTGTATAAGGGCCAAATTTCTCAACTCTAATGTTGTCTAAAGCAGTGGTCCCCAATGTTTTTGGCACCAGTGACTGATTTCATGGAAGACAATTTTTCCATGGACCAGGGATGGGAGGGTGGGGATGGTTTGGGGATGATTCAAGCGCATTACATTTATTGTGCAGTCAAACCTCTCTGCTAATCAGAATCTGTATTTGCAGCCACTCCCCAGCGCTAGCATCACCGCCTCAGCTCCACCTCAGATCATCAGGCTTTACATTCTCATAAGGAGGTGCAATCTGGATCCCTCACATATGCAGTTTACGGTAGGGTTTGTGCTCTTATGAGAATCTAATGCTGTAATGCTGCCCCTGATTTGATAGGAGGCAGAGCTTGGTGGTGTCGTGAGAGATAGGGAGTGGCTGTAAATACAGATGAAGCTTTGCTCGCTTGCCCACCGGTCACCTCTTGCTGTGGGGCCTGGTTCCTAACAGGCCATGAACCAGTACTGGTCAGCATCCCAGGGGTTGGGGACCAGATCTAAAGGGAACAGGGAAAGAGAGGGATGAAGAAAGATAAGCATGGGAAGAAAGAAGTAGAAAGAAGAAAGTGAATTTGTCACATGACATTGCCTGAGTATGTTGTGAAATGTTGTCGTTGTTTCAATATATGTTTAATAGATTTAGTGAAGGATGCTAGAGAAAAGAACTGCATTCTCTTGGAAATTAAAATAGTACCAACACATGTCAGGGATCTGCTGGTCACTGGAGCCCCACAGAGCCATGAGGGGTTGTAGAAGGCAGCATCAGCAGCAATACCTGACAGGGGGCCTGACCTGGAGGATGAGAAACCACAGGGCTCTGTAGGCTCTGTAGGTCAGCCGGCAAAGGCTGACCCACCCAGGCAGCTGGCCCCACACAGCATGGCCTCAGAGACAGGAACGCACCTCTGGTTCCTGCTTCTGGTCCTGCTGTTATTTCAGTTGTTCAGGAGAAACAAGTCTGCTCCTGTGACTGGCACATATGTGTCCCAGTTGTTTTGTGTTCTTCCTCTGCCACTTTATTCGATGTGATGCTCTCAGGCGCGTAGAGGTCAGGAGATAGCTGTGAGTTACGGAGTGGGGTGACCTCCAGAGAGAAATACTAAGAGCAGTTTCTTCTGCATTAGTAGGAATAGGCTCCGCTTTCAGCCTTCTCTACTGCGCTGCTAAGGGATGTGACGAGAGAGTCACAAATGATGGGATAACTGATGACACGATAGAACAAATCACCAGCAGAAAGCAAATGTGTGAACAAGATGTGAAAGATGCTTTTATAACCTGGACGGCAAGAAACCCATTAAATGAAATAAATTACATGCTGCCAGGGTGATGACTCAGTGTCCTATTGAAAGAGGCAACATTTTGAAGTGAAGGAAAAGATAGCATGGTATAACACAGAGAGGCTCAAAATAATGAAAACACTGTTCATTCTGATTAGAGTGTGCATATCCAAACTGGAAAAGAGAGACTTCCACCAACACCCAAAAAACTGCATACTTAAAATGCTTTAAAATATCAACCCCTAGAATTTCCTCTTCTAAAGTATATTTATAAGCCACAATAATACCTAACAAAGATCAAAGCCACACAGTAAGAGACATTTCTTATTACTTATTGTCACAATCCTATTCTTATTTTAGGAAATTAAAGTTCAATTTGTTTATGGCAAGTGTTTTTGATTATAGTTATGGATATGGTCCATTCATTCCTTTATTTATCAAGAAATATATATTGAATGACTTCTGTGGGTCATTCATTAGAGCCATGACAATGAACAAGTGATGTGTCCCTGCCCTGATAGGTTTTTGGCCTACTAGAGTAATAAATTAATATTTACTAAATGCTTTCACAGTAAACATTTCACATGCACAACCTCGTGCAATTGTTACAATAGCCCTGTGAAATAGGCATTCTTTCTATATTTTATACTTGAGGAAAATTAGGGTCAGAGGTTGAGCAACTTGCCCAAAGTTGCAAGCTAAAGAATGGTCGAGGCAAAATTCAGATGAGATCTAGCTGACTTGCCCTGCACAATTTCTGTTACACATTAGCGTATGTTCCCATATGCTGTGGTCATTTGAGAAGGAAATGTTAAATAACATTGTAGACCTAGAAGATTCTTCTGTATTTTATTTTCAATTTACTGAAATCACGTGCTGTGTATGGACATGAGCAATCTTCCATTAGACCTGTCCCACCTCTTTTCCAGAGTCTCTATAAAGTTAGTGGGTAAATAGACCAAGATGTCACTGACATACTCCAACACAATGAGAAAATCTTAAGCAAACTCTCACAGAAATTGTTCTTATTTATCTGTTTCTTTTTCTTTATGGTCAGTGCTGCTGCTTCTTCACACAATACCAAAACTGCGGCAGCATCTCTTGCTCTTAAATTTGAATATCTGTGGAAATCACTTGGTTCTTGAATTGTAATAGTTTATTATTTAAAAATTAGAATTACTTAAAATCCAATAATTATTGCCATTAAACTGTTCCTGCTTTATATTCTGCAGTGTTTGCACAAATGTGATCTAAGTTAATCTTTACAAAAATAGTTGTTTGATTGACACAACAGTTTTGGTATAGTTTACCTGTTTGCTTTATCTATCTTTCTGTTCATTAAAGGAACACATCCTAATTTGTGTGCATAAATAAATGATAAGAATTAGAAGGTAACAGGCCAAGTAAATGCTCAAATAGACAGGCATAACCAATGTGAACACATTTCAATAATTTTCATTTAGATCTAGACACTAATGATATAACAGAATCAAAATTAAACAGCTAAAAGTCCTTCCACAGATCATTTGATTTTCCTGCCTCTTGAAAGAATTGTTCTTCATTTTTCACCTCCATTAAACTATTTATTTTTCTGTCTCCTCAATCCTGCTTAGAGAAAGAAATAAAATTAAATTAAAAATTTCAGACTTAATGTAGTTTATACATCTATATAGATCTCCCTTTCTCACATATCTCCAAGAGAAAGAAATTGGTTCTAAATTAATTCTGATATTTAAAAATTGTCTGTTAGATTTTTTAAAGAATATTCTAAATATTTCCTGATCATAATTTTGCCCTACTATATTTTCTCTAAGAATTTAACTCAATTAAAAAAAATAAGTGATTTGTCTACTACAGAGTATGTATACTAAAAAGAAAATGTTTTTCCTGGCTTACATATTACCACAGGCCAGGTAAAATTTTTGTCCAGCCTTTTCAAAGTGCTAGGCAAAATGGGGTGGTAAATGTAGTCTCAAAAATCTATCATGATTTCAAAAAACAGAATCCCATATTTTTCTTTAACATGTCAGCACAATGCAAGCAATCAGTAGTATTTGTTTTTGCTGTCTTAAATAATGTCTGATTATATTTGTATTTGAACACTGCAGCTTTAGGTGTTTTCCTTTCAGAATTGCTTTCATACTCTATCTTAATTTATGTTTTCACTCAACTTTATGTTATGAGTGTTTTTTTTAAATACTATTATATGTTCTTTTGAAAACATGATTTAGTATCTTTTCAAGATAAAATTTTTATTGTTTTACTATTGAAGAGCTATCTATTTAATGCCCTGGGGCATGTAGTTCTTAAGGTGTTCTAGTAAGAAGTAGTGGAAACTAGTAGTCACCAATGACCTAAGTCTCAGCGGGCAGCACCTCCACTGCGGTGCCCTGCCCTCCACCATCAGGCCCATTCCCAATGGGCTGTATTTACAATGGTTTTAATTAAAATGATCAACACTTTTCAAAGTTGAATAGTATATAGGTCCGGACATCTATGTCATTGGGTTGACTTGTGCACATATCGGTGTTCCCACCAGTCTATAAGCATCTTAAGAGTAAGCAAACTGTCTTTCTTGATTCCTTATATCTATATGCTTAGTCACAGAGGTGGATGTACCACAAAAATGATAAACCTTAAGTTGTGGGGCCTTCATCAACAGAAGCTATTATTTCAAGGCCCTGAGTAAAACCACAGCAATGCAATCACATGCTCATACATCTTTGCAAAATTTGTTAAAGCAAGATAATTGTAATTAGACTGCTGCATGGTTTTGTAGCTTAGTAATTGATTAATTTTGTCTTCTTGTCCTTAACAAAGGCTCTGCAAGTTTGAAAGATTTGGCCCCTAGATTGTCTCTTGCTGGCACAAAAGGAGCAACTATTTATTTTTGTTGAATGATAAATGAAAGAAGTGCAGGGGAGGAATGAATGTGGTATTAATCAATATATTTTAACACTTAAAAATTAGCATTTCTGGCAAAAAAAAAATTCCACAAGCCACGGTTAGCAAGTATAATGCTAACAAATCACCTTATATAATGTCTGTGACTTAACAAAGCTTTTATACAAATACAACTTTAATTGAATCTTTCTACCAATCAATTAAATTTAATCTTCAATTAAAATTATTGATGTTAAAGTATTCATATCTGCACTGTCTGCATAAATTGATTATTAAAGTCGGTGGCTAAAGTGGAAAAGAAACCTAAAGACACAGATTGAGTGACTTGCTCATGATAATGTGTTAGTCCTGGGGGTGTCAGCTGACGCCCTCTGATACCAAATCTACTCTTTTCATTACAACCTGGTGTTGGCAATATACTTAAATAAAATAAAACTTACAAACAAAGAATATAAAATAAAAAAAATTGATAACATTTTTGGCTCCAAATGATCAACATTTTCTTATCTCTTCCCTTCTTCCTTCCCTACCCCTCTCTTCCTCTCTTTTCATTTCTTTTCTTCTTTTCTTGATGCAGGCATTTAATACTATTCAACTGTCATAAAACTAAAGCTTATTATTGGAAAATTGAACCTAACATCTGAAAGCATGATGAAAATGTGGTTGCTGGTCGGTCAACTTGTGATAACGTCTTTTACAACCTGTTTAGCAGGTAAGAACTGTCCTTTGCATGTGCTCCATATGGTATACCAACGTAACCAATATGTGTGTTTATTTCATTAAATCTGTTGTATAAAGTTAGAACTAATGTTTTCTTTTGAAATCTGGATCATACAAGTAAATAAATATACATTAAGATTGACTCTGTTTTCTTTTTATTTTTACTTTCAATTAAAATTTCTTAAGATTTAGTCAATCTTGAGTAGGAGTGTGCTGGTGAATATTTGAAATCTGGATCTCTGGGGTAGGGAAGGAATCCCTGGAGTGTAGCGTTTGTCTATTTCTGGAGAGTAAATACTCCTACTATGGTCAATTTCAACTTGACATCATTTAATGTGGATTGAAAAAGGTGTGCAACCACTCACCATTATATAGTATTTTCAACATCCAGACACAAATTACCTCAATCGCATAGATACAGTAAAATTTAATTTAAAAAAATTAGAAAATAATGGGTTTTAAGCATTTATCCCTTTGTGCTTAGTACAGTTTATTTATTTGTAAGTTAATATAATTTAATTTTTAATACTGGTTGTATTTAACAACTGATTCACAAAATCTTTGAAAATTAATAATAACTTCTTAAAAGCTACTAAAAGTGGCCACAACACACTATTGACTCTCACAGTCTTTACCAATTTAGTCAATGCTATAAAAACAATGTTAAAATCATCTAAAATGTGTGTAGGGACATTAGAATAACAAGTTTTGATAGTGTTTTAGGTTTAGGAAAAATATTATATTTCTGTCTTTCGAAGATAAGTATGAAGCATTTAGAGATATTTCCTATAAGGAAAAGTGCATCCTATTTTTATCTGAAAGCAGCATGTTTTCTAACAATCACTTTTTCTAATACCTTCACCTTAATGACGAGTAAGTACTTGTTGAGTGGATATTTTGTTGAAGACATAGCCAGAGCACATCCTTTTGGGTATCAATTCCCAGAGCTCACTTTTAAGGATGAACCTCAGGGACATACTACTGTGTTTCTTATTTATTATTAAATAACTACAAAATACTATTTTATTTTGGGGAGTAATTTTTATTATGCTCATTCTAGAATTTGGAAAAGATCATTTATTAATACTGAGGGATTTTAAAGATATTGATAATTACATATTTTATAAACATGGCAATTATACACATGTATATAATTACATGTATAACATATTTTTATATATAATGTAAATATAATGAAAATTTTGATAAGATTATTCTAGTGAAGTCTGATTTTCATAAATAATAGAACAAAAAATATCTTATTAGTACTGACAGTTTATACTAATTCTGTTGGCTGCAAATATTAGTGCTACCACTATACAATGTAAGTATAAGAAACAAATATCTGCACAGATGTGAAGATACTTCAACCTTATTAGTGACAGGCCAGTACTGTCATTTCATTGACTAGCATCTCAGGTATTTGAGTAATGTTTGAAATCACAATGCAAAGAATTACTTCAGGATCAAAATTGTTTTTTCTTTCATTTTTAGAGTTTACGTGGCACAGAAATAGATATGGTCATGGAGGTAAGTTGACAAAAGGGTAAATCTTTTAAATAGCTTTCCTCAGTTGAATCATATTTCATTTCTACTTTAAGCTATTACCTCTCTAAACTTTGAGGCAAATGGACATTTTTTGTTAACTCGTTTGATTGCAGATATGAATGAATGGCTATACATCACAAACAAATATCCTATTAGCAGATTGTTGCAGAAAGAGCATATTCAGTGTGGCCTGTATTTTTTTCTGCATGCTTTGGAAGAATGCTATGCTACTAAATTTTGAAGCAGTATTTTAAACATATTTTAAATATTGTAAACATCCAATATTTTTGAAAGCCTCTTACTTTGCTGCAAGAGGGAGAACTAAAGTTAGCAAGCTTGGAACCTTAAGATTCAATTCAATTATAATAGGAGCCCACAGATGTTGCAAAATTTATTGTTTAACAGTCCTGTCAGTTTATAGATTTTACTTCAACTACTGAACATTTCCTACAGAAATAAAACCAGGAATGTTATACTGGAAAAAATACAGAGTCTAGAAAAATACAGAGACTAGTCTGGATTTGCACCATCAGCTGGTACTCATCAGCTGACCTTGTGATCTTGTGTAAATTATATAACTTCTATGAGCCTCAACTTTCCAATATGTAAAAATCACAGGATTGTTGTGAGGACTAAAAAATGAATGCAATTATAACTTCTAGAATAGTGACTGGCATAGTAGGTGCTTGATAAACATAGCAACACTGGTAACTTATAAAAGCTACTGCATAATGGTAAGAGAATGAAAAATCAGCAAGAATCACTGAGCAACTAATATGGCAACTAGCATGCCAAATCAAGGATATTCATGCCAGACAGGGTGAGAAGAACTTCCGCTTGTAGGATTAAAACAAAGGAAGTTCTTAGCCCAAATTCTACCTATGTGATTTCTGTTTCCAGCTTGTGAGTTGAGAATCACTACCTGTAAGCTATATAAAGAGCAGTGCGATATGTTCCGTGACTTCAAGAACCTGATCATATAGTAGGAAATAAGATAAGTAGCTAACAGTTTTATAAGAAACATTATGATGGTGTTTTAAAAGAATTACTTAAGGAATTATGGCATATTTAATGATGGAGGTAGTAGGTAAAAGAAACTTGAAGTATTTTAAATGTTAGAAGTGGAACTAATTTGAAATAGAGGAAGTGTCACAAATAAAAATGCAGAGGTGGGGAAAGTGGGGGAAATCTGGGCTATATTTTCTTGTATTTCCCCTAATATTCAAAAAAACTTGTTCTGCAGGGTGTTAGTAGCAAGTACATTAAAAAGGACTTCACTGTCAAATAAATTTGGAAGAACTTTACGTTAAAGTTCAATTGTTTGTTATTAACTTTAAGAATTCATACTACTTACATAGTAAGTAGAATATGTGTGTTAGTTTCCTAGGATTGCCATAATAAAGTATCAAAAAGTGGGTGGCTTAGAACAGAACGATATTGTTTCTCAGTTTTGGAGGCTATAAGTTCAAAATCAAGGTGGCCATGCTCCTTCTAAAACCTTTAGGGGAAGACTTTTTCCTTGCCTCTTCCAGCTTCTGGTAGCCCCAGATGTTCCATGGTTTGTGACAGAATTCCAGTGTCTCCCTCCAACTTCACATGGTGTTCTCTTTGTGCCTCTTCATGTCATCTGCCCTCTGTGCATGTCTGTCTCCATGTCCAAATTTCCCCTTTTTATAAGGATACTAGTCACGTTGAATTAGGGCCAACTTAATGACCTTGTTTGAACTTGATTACCTTTGTAAAGACCCTATTTCCAGATAAGGTCACATTCTGATGTATTGAGAGTGAGGACTTCAACAATCTTTTTTTCTTTGGTGGGGGATGATGAAGAGGGAGACAAAATACAATTCACAGCATGCATTACCTTAAATAGACAGTATTGTGACTCCAACAGTAGAGAAGAGTTATGAAATATCCAGATGCTCCAAAGCACATTTGACGTCCCAGCTGAGTCACTAAGGGAAAAAACAAAACAAAACCAAATAAAAACAACCAAACTAAACCAAGCAAGCAAGCAAACAAAACAAAACAAAGTACCCTAAAAGGCCTCTATGCTGAATTTAAATTCACGGCTACTAACTTCAAGTGGATAGCTTAGACTGCCCAGCAAACACACTCCACTTCCCCAGTGCATTCATTTTGTCTTTCCTAGGTCATGTTGTAGTGGCTCCTCTCTCCTCAAATCCCCACCAATTTCTTGCTCATTCTTATTATACTTCCAGTTGACAACTTTGCTCCCTATTATGCAGAGAAATTAGGAATGATCAGAAGAGAGCGCAACAAGCTCACCTGACCACCTCTGCTCACCTCCTGCATCTGTGCTCAGATACTGTTCCTGCCTACATAGATGATCTCACCATTCCAAGCCCGGCACTTGTGTACTAGGTCCTATCCCATCTGGCCCATTTAAGTCCACTGTTCTTTGGTGGGGGATGCGATTGTCCCCGCAATTGTCCTCTCTCTCTCCTCACTGTCAATTTTTCCCTCTCTCCTGGATTATTGCTATCAGTTTACAAACATTCTGTAATTTCTCTCATTTAAAAAAATAATCCTCTGTTGATCTCACACCTTACAGCCAATATCCCATTTATTTCTTCTTCTTTACAGCAAATATTACTTTAAAAGCTTATGCTTGCTCTTTTCAACTCCTTGGTCCATGCTCTCTCCTTTGAATCTACTGCAATTAAGCTTTCCCACCACTTCTCAGCCAAAACTGCATTGTCACCAGCGTCATACACATTGTTAATCCAATGATCATCTCTCAGGCTTCCTACCTGACCTGTTGGCATCAGTGCCGCAGTTCCAGGTGCCACATGTAGACATAACAACATCTTATAGAGGAAGAGGGTGTGTTTCTTTTTTCTTGTATCTATCTCCCTTTAAAAACAAGGGGATCTTTCCAAGGAACCTCTCACTAGATGTCCAGAGTTGGCTCATACATGTATCATTAAGCCCATCATTGGCAAGAGTAGTGAAATTAATGGAGTCAGCCTTTACTTTCGAGTCATGGGGTTGATCCTTGAACGAATCTGAACTTTGACATGAGGGTAAAGGGGAGTAAAGGCACTCAGAAGTCAACCAACAATGGCTGCTGCATTACTTAAAGGAGTTGAAATTGAGATTTTTCTCACAAGTGAAAAAGTTCTATCCAATATATCATCCTGCATGTATAATAGTTTGTTGTTGTTTGAGACAGAGTCTTGCTCTGTCACCCCAGGTAGAGTGCAGTGGCCAGATAGAGTGCATAGCTCACTATAACCTCAAACTCGTGGGCTCAAGTCATCCTCTTGCCTCAGCCTCCAAGTAGCTGGGACTACAGGAATGCACCATCATGCCTGGCTAATTTTTCTATTTTTAGTAGAGACAGGATTTCTTGCTCAGGCTGTTTTCAATTGCCTGAACTCAAGCAATCCTCCTGCCTTGGCCTCCCAGAGTGCTAGGATTACAGGTGTGATCCACCGTGCCCCGCCTATAATGTTAGTAGTTTTTTTACCTATTATTTGATAGCAGTATTAGTAGCTTAGGTGACTAGTTTTTAAATAAATGTATTAAAACAGTTTTAATTTGAAAAATAAACTATACCAAGTCTTATTACAACATCATCAAATCCAACTAGACTCTTCCCTGTGTCTTTTAAAAATGCCTTCCTTTTTAATTTTTTTAGATTTTGTGAAAGCAATATTATATCCTATCGAGACAAGAAAATGAATATAACTAAGTTGCATATAGTCAACCTGTAATGTTTAGATATTTAATTAATAACTAAATCATTTGAGAGTAAACATTTATCTTAGATGCTTTTTTCATACATGGTCTTCTTTTACATTATTTTCGGAAAGAAAAAGAAAAACCCAACGTTCAGCTGTTTCAGGACCAACTTTCACCCAGGCTACCTAAATGAAAAGAAATATCTCTTTAATTCCTTTGGAATTCAGTGAGAAAAAAGTATAAAAGGAAGAAATAAAATAGCAGCATACTCTTTATTTTATAAGAATAAAAATATTAAATATCTATAAATTATGCTTTATACATTTAGAGTTATGGTATGATTCTATAATATCAAAAGCTAATATTGAAAAGAAATTATCTTCACTGGTTGGCTACAGTGAAGGCAGATAGAGAATTTCATATGTCTTTACAGTATTTGCACCCAAATTTTCTGGATGTTTTTTTCAATTAGGCTTACATCAGTTACTAAACATTATTTTCACATTTCTCTATCTCTAAATATGATTGACATATCATAGCATTCAATGTTTTATGACTATTTTGTGCTGTGATCACTCATAATCTCATCAATCAAAATAAACTGGAAGTAGCCTGAGACAGGTTGGGTCCTAGAAGTAGGTCCACCAGTAGGAGGAAGCTATGCATTAGGATGTAGTGAGACACGAAAGTAGGTGTGGGAAAATGCTTGGTCAATTATGTCAAAAAGGGTCTAGATGCTTCAGAGGTGGACCACAGGTGAAGGAAGTGGTTGATATCAAGAGATGTGATACGGTCCCCTTGGCAGGCAAAGCCACGCAAAGGGGAATTTAGTCCACTTAACCTTTCTGCTAACCTGATTCTACTCTTCATTCTAATAACTGGATTTCTGCACATTTTTGAGACCAGCTCCTTACTTTGTATTTTTTAGTTATGGCAAATTACTACAATGTTCCTATTATCCATGACCTAAAGGATCGAGGCACCAGAGTATTCAAAGCCTAAAAACACTAAACCTACTTTTTCTCTTATCAGCAGGGAATGGTTTGCAGTGAAGATAGGAAGCTATGTGTCTGGAAAAAGTCTGTTTTGAGACAATTTAAATATAATCTCATTTAGAGCATTTATTCTATTTCAAGAGAGTTTGTACTACTCCCCACTCCATAAGCATTGTAATAGTGTAAATATTGCAAAAATTCCAATACTAAACTCTCTTCAAATTTTATTGCTAATTTTTTCTAATAGATTTTTCCTGAGACTTTTCTTACGACATAGTT